CACACACACACACACACACACACACACACACACACACACACACACACACACACACCAACCAGGCTCTACCCACCACCCTCTCCAGTGCCCCTCCTCCAGTCCCGCCACACTCCTGGGTAGGCTCTTACCAAGATGACAGCTGCCACAGCACCGGCCTCCTTGTCCACCAGTGGTATGACCAGCACTGAGGGGAAAGGGCAATGAGGTGGTCCTGCAGGGCCATTGAGGCTCAGAAATACTGAGCTGGGACCCAGGGAGGGAGACAAAGACACAGACAGAGAGAGGCCAGGACAGAGATACAAAGAGGCCCAGAGACCCAGAGAGAAAGAGAAGGGTCCTGAGGAAGCAACAAAAACCGCAGCAATGACCCCTGCATAGATGGAAACCCCTCGCTGGGGGAATTTCTCATGGTCCTTGGGAGGGAGGGAGGGGGGCAGGTAAGGCTGAGCACCCCTATTTTACAGATTGGGAAACTGAGGTCCAGAAAGGGGAAGTGACTTGCCCAAGATCACACAGCAAGTCAGGTCTCCTGACTCCCAGTCTTGTGCATTTTCCACATCGAGACAGAGGACAGAGACCTGGAGAGACTGAGACGAGGCAGAGAGACATGGCGGACAGGGGGTGTGGAGAGGAAGAGAGAGAAAACAGAGAGTGACAGACAGAGTATGACAACAACAGCCCAAGTAACCACGAGTATAGCACATCGTCACTGGCCACCAGCCACGAGTCCTGGAATGGGCCAGGCCCTCCCTTCACAGGTGTTATCTCATTTGCTCCTTGTTCCTCCTCAAAACACCCCTTCAAGGTAGCTTCTAATACCCATTCTACAGACCAGGAAATCAAGGCTTACAGAGATTAGTGGCACAAAAGAGAGAGAATTAGATGGAGGCACAGAGCAAGACAAAGAAAAAGACAGAGAGGTAGAGACAGGGGCAAAAGACACATGCGCTCTGGGAGCAGGAGTCACCACCCTCCCTGCCCCCGCCAGTCCCCAGCCCTTACCTTGGGTGTCAGGAGCCAGCGGGGCCGCCAATTTGGCCAAGGGTTTCCCTGGCAGGTCCGCGGGGCCCAATCCATTGCAGCCCAACCGCTTCTGGGAGATCACAGCCTCTCTGAAAAGAGGACGTGACCCACCTTTCAGCGCCTAAGTCAAAACGAGTCAGACCCTCCCTGAGGACCCACGGCAGACTGTGAGTCTGCAAGGACGGGGTAACTGACCTGCTATGAAGTGGACACAGGAGGGCAAAAATGAAAGAGCTGGGCTTTCTGATGCTTTCCACCCCCCACCCCACCCCCAGATAGAGGGGCAGGGAGAGACAACACAGCTTCTGTTGAATATACAGGTATTTTAAAGGCACCCAGAGGTTAAGTAACCTCCAAGGCACCACCATTAATAAGCGGTAAGGTGGGACATGAAATAAGCAGAGCAACTCAACCACAATACCTGAACCTTCCTGAAGACCTGAGGGGGTGTGAGTCTTGAACAAGGGGTTGGCATGAAGTAGAGGGAGAAAAGGGCTGAGATAGAGTGGAGGGAAGGAGAGGTGTGAGCCGAGGGAAGATGGTGTAGGAAGACTGAGTTTCGCTCTGCTCTCATCACACATTACCCCCCCCCCACCTCTCTCTCTCTTCCTGCTTAATTAAGCGCCTGATTTTTCACCAAATGTCACTCCCTGATGATTAATTGTCCTGGGTTCCTCATCCCTTATCCTGCCTCCACTTAATTGTGTTCATAGGAACTGCCTGGCCTGGATAGAAGAGAAGCTTGGGGGGCTGGGACTCCTACATGTGCATGTGGGGTCTCTAAGGGAAGCCCAGCAAAGGTCAAGTGAGGAAAAGAGAGGTGGTGGCCGGCAAGTCTGCAGATCAGGAGGCCACATTGGCGAGGGAATCTGAGGGCCAAAGAGGCTTGTCAAGCTCACTTGGTATTCCAAACCTGGCCTCTTGACAACTTCAGAACTGACAAGAACCTGTGGCATCTCCTACCTTCTTGCCCTCATGCCCTGGGCCTTTAGCTTCCGGGAGTGCTGGGGTCCAGTATTGAGCTGTCCAATGGTGCCAGTCACCCCAGAATAGAATAATGATCTGGGGTGGTAGGAAGGCCACTGCTACCACATTTCCTGAAGACTAAACTGATGATGGCTGGGGCTGGCCTTCACGCACGTCCCACCCAGACACTTGGCTTCAGACCATCTGGTGCATGGGCAGCCACAAGGTGGCACTGGTTCCTGGGTTGCTGGTCACTGGTCAGAGAACTCTGGCTTCATCTATTGCCCTCAGGAACTCCAGAAGGGGGCTGCCTTGGCCTCACCCCACCTTGCTATATTCCAAACTTTCTTCTGATCCACACAACACTCCCTCCCTTTTGCTCAAGGCCTCATGACTCCCCAACCACATATCCCACCCCTCCCAAAAGCTCCAGATCCCAGGTAGCCAAAGGCCTCTGGGAGGCCTGCCCTGGGTGTCCCTGAAGTGCCCCAGACATGCCATCCCAATCTGCATTATCTTCCCCTCATGTGCCCCAGAGTGGCACAGCCAGCCACCAGGTCCCTTGCAGCTTGGCCACAAACAATTCTAGCACTGCCCTTGTCCTCATCCCACATCCAGTTGGTGTGTCACCCCATGGAGCGCACAACTGTCGTCTCCACTCCTAAGCCGCTGCCCAACTCTAAAGTGACACCCTCCCCCGGACCTGCAGCTGCCTCTCCCCCCAGCTCCTATCTCATCCCTAACTTCTGCTCTCTACTAGAGTCACAGAAGGTTTTCTCAACTGGAATATTTATGGGAACATTCTACTGAAATCTGTCACTCCTCGAATCTTTGTCCGGGATCCTTCAGTCAGGACTGAGATGAGACTGGGAGCCAGACACATGCGTGGCCAAGGAGACAGGCATGGTGGTGTGGAGACCTGAGCCTGAGTGCAGGGATGAGGGTTCTGGAAAAGGAAGCAAGGGCAGGCACAGCCTCTCCGGGGCAGATAGAGTGGGGTCAGAGAAGGCTTCCTGGAGGCAGCAATGACCGTGGTGAGTTCTGAAGAACATGTAGAGGTTATCAGAAGGATGTGCAGGCAGAGGGGACTGCACGTACAAAAGACATGTGCTGGAAGGTCCAACTGGGAGGCTGGATGCAGAGAAGCAAGGTGGAAAAGGGAGGGAGAGGGTGGGGGGCCGAGGCGGGAGGTGGGGTTAGGGCCTTGAGGAGAGAGCTTGGTCCTAGAGCAGTGGGAGCCCTGGGGGAAATTTGAGCAGGGGAAGGTAAAGTAAAGCCAGCTTTCATCTCGGGCTGATCACACCCAATGGCTGCCTGGTAGAACTCTCACTGGACGGAGAATTGGAGGTGGGAAATCCCATCTCAGTGAGGGCTGCAGTGGTCCCTGGACAGCAGGAGAGGCTAGGCTGAGGCAGGGCAACCTTCTGGGTCTCTCTGAGCCCTGGGAGGATCCTCAGTCTTCAGGAGTCCTGGTACCTGAGCTCATTGATCTGCAGGTTGGTCTCCTTGCCCAGCCATGTCCCACAGCCCAGACAGGGGCATGCCAGGCCAGTCTCACCTCAACCCACCCCCTTGGGAGTGGTCCTTCCTAAAATTCAAGCCCCCCCAGAAGTCCCAAGGTCACCCACAGCCTGGAAGGGGGAGGCTTCTGGTGAGTGTCCCTCATCCAGGTGGGGTCTACTTTGTCTGCTGCTCATACCCCCGTGGCTCTCTGCCCACTCAGCACCCAACCCTGCCTCCTCTCCCCTCCTGGCTCCCTGCATCCCAGCACCACCTGCCAGGGTGATGTTGTGGGGTGAAGAGATTCCACACCCTGGGCCACGTGTCCAGGGGAAAGCTCATGACTCAGCCGGGTGCCAGTGTGGTCATGGTCTGCTCAGGGGAGATAAAGACAGATGGGCTCAGTGTGGGGAGAGGAACGGGTGTGGGCTTTATGACGTCCTGTCCCTTTAACAACTATTTGTTTAGTAGAAATTGTAGGGGAAAGGCTCTCTGTCAGTGGTTTCACTAACCTGGAAGGAACCGAGTATCCAGGCCCCCTTCCACTTTTCTAAGTCCCCTCTTAGAGCAGACCCCCATTGCTGACCCCTCCTCCCAAGAACTCCAACTGTGCTCTGAACTTCATCTCTGTGGAGAAAAATTATGATTCCGGCCAGGCCCTGCCTGGGCCCTCCCTCTCCCTCTGGGGAGACTCTGGAGATGGAAACAGACTCTCCTGGGACCTCCCACCCTGGACAAATAAGAGACAGATTCCACAGTGAATGGGGACTAGGTCAGCTCTAAGGAAAAAAAAATTGCTCAAAGTTAGGGCTCAGCCCCGCAAATGGTAACAGAGGGAGACAGCCAGCTCAGACTGGTGTGGGTGCTGCCTCCCTGCAGCTGAAAGGCCCAATTTCGCTGCACTCAGCAGTGGGTAATCAGAGGCTTTACGATGGCAGGAGACACAGTAAGAGGAAGGCGGCAGGGCTGGGACGCAAATAGGCTGGGAGATCAGAGGAGGGGGCCGTGCAGCACCAACAGGAAGGAGGCAAAGCCTTCCAGGAAGCCCCTCGCCCAGGCAGCCTTCCAGGATTCTCTTCTCTCCTGTCCTGAGGCCCCTTTGCTGCCTCAGTATGTACAGTCCGGCAGCGCTCAGACGCAGCGCCCACCCAGTCATCTCGCAGAAGTACATGGAGGCCCAGAGGTTGCAGCCCAGCCGCGTGGCCCTGGATCGCAGGTCTCCAGGCCTGGTCCTTCTGTGGACAGACATGTCACTGGGGCGGCCACGACAGCCCAGTCACCTTTTCTGAAATCTGGGTCCTCCCAGGTGCCGAGAAGCTCTGGAGCAGGCCGTCTAGAGGGCCGCTGCATCCACGGGAGGTAAGTGAAGTGTGGGTTGGTCAAGACGTTGATGACAGAGGAAGGGATTTCAGGGCAGGAGTGAGCTGAGCCAGCACAAGAAGGCAGGAAAGCCAAACACATGTGGGGGTAAACTGAGTATGTGTGAGCTCTCTGAAGGGTGGGGGCAGTGGCAAGAGGGGCCTCCGCACTGCCTCCTTGGGCCATCTCCACCCTGGCTCTGCACACCCCCACTCTCAGCCCCTCCCCTTCGGCCTTCATCTGTCTTTATGGTCTCAGTCCACTTCACACCCGCTGCTGTTTGCCAGCCCTGCCAGCATCCAGGGCTTCCAATAGGGCACCCTCTTCCGCTGAGCACTGCTAGAGCCTCAGGCTCCATCCTGACCTATGGCAGACGCCACAGCCTCCTGGGGGCCAGGCACCATCACTAGGGCCCTATGTTTTCTCAACAAAGAGACTGAGGTCCAGGGAAGCAACAGTCTCAATGCTATCCATGAGTAAGTGCCCAGGCTGGAGGGCAAAATTATTGAAGCCTACTGTGTGCTAGGCACAGGGCCAAGACTTGACAATCTATAGCTCATTAGGCCAATCAGTACATCCTATTGTCACCTCCATTTTACAGGTTAAGAAAACAGGTGTGCAAAGGGACACAGTGAGGCAGGGATGGGCCAGCTGAATCCAGGACTGAGCTCTTTCCTCTCACACATGCTTGGGTCTCGAGCCCCTGACCTGCTGGGACCCTAGAGGGCAGGCCCAGGTACTGTGTCAGCACATCACCAGACTCCAGGCAGCAGGCACAGCAGATGTTCCAGAAGGGAGCACTGACCCTGGACCTTCACTCCTAAGCTTTGCCAACCTGGATGAACTTTGATCTCTGTGTCCCCCAAGAGCCCCATGCCCCCACCTCCTGAGACTTCTGAGCTCTCTCCCAGCAGGCACTTGCTTTCCCATCACCACTGAACTCTGGGCTATTTCCATCGGAACCTTCCCTTTTAATTGTTTTTTGTAGGTGCCTTTTCTGGCTTTACTGAATCTGAAGTGGCTGGGGGGAGGGTGGTGACAGGGCTGTTGAGGCAGAGGACCTGACCCCTTAAAGTTGTCTGGACCACGACGACAGCTTTCTAGAAAGCCCCAGCGGAACATTTGTGGGCAGAGCAAACCTAGCAGGATGCTCCCTCACCGCCTCTGGACCCATGACTCTGACCCCTCTTCAGGAGGCCTCCCCAGGCCACTTGGGGAAACTACTGCATGGGGTAAGCTCATGCTAAGCAAAGTTGCAGAATTAGGGGTGGGGGCAGGCAGCACTACAACACCCCCATTGCTGCGCACCCGCTCTCAGCTCCTGACCACACTGCCCCGGTCCCAGGATGGCCCTGGGGTGCTCAGCGGCATAACTACCCTCCCTGGACCAGCACTCCTGCCCTGCAGCACTCTCCCTTCTGACAAACCCCACTCCCGTCACTGTTGCCTGAATGACCCAGAACTAGGAGACCATAGGCCATCTCTGCCTCACGCCAGGCTCCAACCACAGTGCACTGTGCCCTTGTGCTAAAGCCAGTGACTCCTCATCTAATCACGTGAAAAGGAATCCAGACACTTAGCTTTCAGGATGGACACAGTTTCAAGTGCTTTACATTTACTCATTTTATCCTCCCAAGGATCCTAGAAAAACTATTATTACTTCCATTTTGCAAGCAAGAGAACTGAGGCCCAGAGAGGGCGAGTACGTTGCCCAAGGTTATATGGCTAAACCAGAAGCTGAGATCTGAGGCCGGCAGTGGGCCCAGGGGCCCAGCAGGCCGTCGGCTCTGATCTTGTGGCTCTCAGACCCTGGGGTAACTCTGTGCATTCTACAGGTCAGCACTGTGTGATGAGAATTCCGTGATTCTATGACTCTAAGAACCCTCGGCTGTTCTCACACCTGCTGGGGTTCTAACTGTAACTGATAACCTGTAGCCCAGATTCTAAAAGTGCTGTGAGTAAGCGCAGCGATTTAGAGGAGCCAGCAGGAGAGAATCTATTCATGGCACTTTCCCAGGGCTGTCAGTTTCTCCAACACAAGAGACACGCCGTCTCTCTGTTGTACCTGGCCAAGGAGCCCCACCTGGCAGGGAGGTCAAGGTTGGACAGGAAGGGTCAGACCAGATGACTCTGGAAGGTGCCCAGCCCTGAGATCCTTGACTGAGGTAATGGCTCACCGGACTCTCCCCTCCTGGGGCAGCTCGTGCGGGGGCTCCTCACAGACCAGTCGGGACTCCTTGTCCAGCAGGTAGGTGTAGACAGTCTCCTAGGAGAGAAGATACTCATGAGACCCTGCGGAGATGCCCGCTCCCAGGCTGTGCACGGGTCAGGATGGTGAGTCACAGACCCTCTGGGGATGGTGGGCTCCGCTTCTGTTCATATTTCCCAGGCGATTCAAACACACAACCAGGCTGGGAAGACTCCCTTATGAACTTAGTGCCTCTCTTCTCGTCTTGGAAGAGGTTCTGGGCAGTGATCCGCGAGCCTGCCAGCTTTCCTTACCAATCACCCCAAGTTCAAGGGGCAAAGGAAAGAGTTTGAAGGTGCAGACAAATCAGCCCACCCCACCCCCCACCCCAGGATACTCTCAACCATGACTCCAGCCTCAGCCAACAACAGAGTATTTGCTCAGGTCCATACCTAGCAGGGGTTCAGAATGCCTGAGAATCTTCCGTCCCACCTCAGCCACATAGACAGCTGGATAAGAAATTGTGATCCAAGCCAGGAGTGCTTCCTGGAGGAAGTGATCTAAATTTTGTAACTGGAGTGATTCAGGGAGCAGGCAGTCTATAGAAGAGAGGCTTGTGGGTAGCAGGTACATAGGTGTAAAGTACACGGAACAGACTGTGGAGTCAGGGGGTACAGGAGGTAGCAGGGGTCAGCAGGGGCAGAGCTGCAGAGGATGATGGGGAATCTGCAGGAGAGCAGGAGATGTACCCCGAGAGACAGAAGCAGAATTGTGTTTTGGGATGATCCCTCCAGAGAGTGAGGTCAAAGTCCCCCCCAAAGCTTTTCCAGTTTTCTGCTCCATCCATTGGCCCTTCCCAAGGGAGGGAGCAGTCTCTGCCTCAATTCCAGGCCATATGTTGGCAGAAATACTTGCCCTCAATGACCTACAGGGAAAACATATTTTCTCCAAGCTGGACTTGCTGCCCTGAGGAATGCACAGCTGGTTGGTCCAGCATTGAGGTGCATGTCCACTACCTACACTGTGTGTGACATGGGAGACCCAGAGCAGTCCTGTCCAGGGGAGTCCAGGCCCCAGCAAAGAGGCACCCATATGGCCAGCCAAGTATCCCGAGAGGCTTGTTTTCTCAGTGGGAGGTTGGAAGGCTCATCCCTGATTCTCTCGCTCTACTGAGGGGCTCAGGAGGGCTTCTGGAGGAGATGGTGTAAGAGCTGGTTTTGAAGGCCCTCTTTCAGTGAGTGTGGAATCTTTCTCCACAGTAATTGCCTTTCATATCTCAAAATCCACAATCCTGACAGCCACCCTTTTGCCCTGGCTGCCCCCAGCCAGCTCCCATCCTCTCCCTCCCCTCAGGGAATACCCCAGCTCTACTCCCTGAGGTCCTGAGCTAGGCTCAGTGAAGGCACAGGGCATGACGGCAGTGAGGGGCAGGCACAGGCAAGGGCTGGAGCCACACTGTCCTCCCGGGTGAGAGTCTAGGAGCTGCATTCAGGGATAAAGAAATCAGTGGAAAGAGGGTCACACCCTCTCCTCCTCTACATCCAGTCTCCTCCTTGTCATCTGACCCTTTCAGCAGCATGGAAGGGGCCTGAGGGATTTGGCCTGAAAAGGTTAAGAAACCCACCGGCACCCAGGATCATACAGATAGTCCTGCCCTTGCAGAGATGGGGTGGCTAATCTGGGGGTGGGGAGGCAGGGAAGACAGAGCCTCGCTTCACTTCCGGATGTCCGTCTATCTCCCACCCCCTCGCTCTCAGCCCTCTGGGTTAAAATTAGCTGAGTTTATTGAAGAGGAGGAGGGAATCATTTCAAACACATCAGCACCATCTGCATTCGGGGCTGCCTGCCACAATGGGTGCTGATGAGGGAACCAGGTGCCAGCGGCTCCCCCCTTGCATGGGGGAGACCCCGCCCCCATCTCCTCACCCTTTTTAGGGGCAGAGAAGACCTCCCATCTCCCCTACTCCCTGGGGACAGAGAAGACCCCCCCATCTGCCCAACCCTCTTTGGGGCCTTGTGCTTCTCTATAAATCAAGTTGGGGTACCCCAGAGTCAGGGTATCTCCTGGGTAGGCCCAGGTAGACATTTTCCATTTTCCCGGGAACCTAGTTACCACAGCTGTCTTCCCAGTCCCAGTTTTGGGGATATAATTTGTCCAATGTAGGGCATCTGTGTTGGCACATTCACCAAGGCACTCTGCCTGGGCCGACTTGCCCTCCCCTATCCCAGGATAGCTCAATGGTCACAGAGGACCCAGGGAAGCCTCGCAGATGCTGTTCTGCAACTTCCTCATCCCCACCCCCTCTTTCCAGATGTGCTTCTAACCCAGGCCAGATGTTGTCTCAGTCCCATCTTCTCCAGGAGGTTTTATTTTTGGGTACCAGCATACCACCCACTTCCTACCAATTTTATGCTCAATAAAGCTCACTCATTAGCCCTCCTCCTGGGCTCTGAACTTCTAGGAGGTTTTGAGAAGGCAGAATTGAGGAAAAGGAATGGGGGTACTTAGATGCCAAGCCCCATTTGTCCCTGTCATGCTGTGTGACCTTGAGAAGAACACCCTCCCTCTCTGAGCCTCCAGCAGCTCATCCATCAAGCCGCTTGAGGCACAAAGGACTCTGGTGTATGGAGTGTCACATTCTGAACTAGCCAGATTACCTGGAGCAGACACTGCCCTTGGCTGGCATCTAGAGTAGGAGAGAAGATACTCTAGGACTCCATTTTTGGCATCTTCTCTGGGAAATCTTTAGTGCTCCTTAGCCTGGCCCAAATCCCCTCCCCAGACTCTGACAGTCTTCTGTTTCCCTCTGTCTGGTGCAACTATCTGCCTTGAGGGCTAGAGGGCTAGTAATCCATCTCACAGAGTAAGGAATGAGTACTGGCCAGCAGAACCAGGTTGGAGAGTAACCTGGGGCACAGACCTCCCACCCTCCAGGCCCAGGTAACCACGTGATCAGTGACTATGGGCTGAGCAACCACCCTCCATCTGTCCCCAGTCTGCAACCTTATACATGGCATTGGGATGGGTCAGAGGGAATTTTAAAAGTTTAAAAGTTTCTCTCCAACCTCCTACCTCCAGAAGGACACTTTAATTTGGCATATTTCATTTATCAAGGCTGAACCCTATGCTCACATCTCTCAAATCTGGCATCTTCTGGGGCCACCTGGTATCTCTAGGCTTAAAGTCTCGGTGCTGTCAAGCTATTGCCAGCCACTGTGGCAGGAGTTTGATCCTAGGGAGCTGACCCACATGACACAGCAGATCTCCCTGTCCTGCCTGCCGGCTGCTCCCCTCAGCAGTGTTTTTCAGTGGCTCCACTTCTTCTGCTTTTCACTCTGTCTCTGGTGAATCCTTTCCCCTTACCCCCACACTTCTATACCTCAGTTCTATACTTTCTATACCTCAGTTCTTATGTGTATAAATAAAAATAAATGTATTTTAAAAAAAGTTCTTCTATATATCTACCGCTACTCCTGCTGCTGTACACTTGACTCCACAATCTCCTTCCTGTTATTCTAGATGAACCCGCTCTACTATCTGAGATATGAGCTTTTCGGTGAAGCTCTAAGGCTCCTTCTGGCTCAGATATGCCAGGATCCTATGTAAATTCATTCTCTGGGATTTAGCTTCAACCTTTCTCATCCAAGAAAATCTCTCAGAATACTTGCCAAGCCCTTTCTTCCCCCATGAAAGTCTTCTGGGAAGAAGCCCTACCCCTTCCTTCCTTCTCTAGACAGAGATGCACCAAGGTTTGGGGGGCAGAGGGAAATTCAGGGCACGGTACTTACCACTTTGGGGAGCACAGCAGAGAGAGCCTCCTTGACAGCCTGTTGCAGGCCGGTGATGTCGATGACGGAGCCCAGGCTCAGCAGAGCATCCTGGAAGAGAGGAAAGGACTATGAGAACCTCTGCTGGGCAGGCCAGGGCAGCCCTCCTGTCCACCAGGCTGTGAGCCCCACCCCCAGCTTAGCCCAGAGAGCTCAGGCTCTCACACACTTAAGCCCCAGGATTCAGATTCTCAGACATCAACTGCTTTAGAATGTCTAAGTTCCATCATCTTACAGATGAGAATATTTAGGCTCAGAGTAGGCCCAGGGACTTCTCAATGTTGAGAGATCTAACTAGACCCCAGTCTGGCATAGTAGGGAAAACACAAGCCCCATGTCAAACAAAGCCCCACATTCGGATCCTAGTTCCAAGCTTTATTAGCAGTGTGTGTGTGTGCCTCGGTCTAGTCACCACGGTCCAGACTAGATCATGTAAACGGGGGACAGTGTGGCTATCTCCCCTGTAGGCGGATAGAAAGACAAACTGAAACTAAGCACTAAAAGCATCTCACTGAGGGCCCAGCATCAAGAAGATGTTCCACAGAAAACTTGCAGAAGCTGGGCCCCACTCGCTTTCCTTGAAAGAGATGGTCTCAAGCCGTCTCATGTTTTCATCTCAGGGAAGACTTAGCCTGGGAGTAGCAAGAGTCCAGGGGGTGCAGGAGCCTCAAGGTGGGAGACACGAGGGAGCCAGCGCCTGGCAGGACAGGAGGGGAAGTCAGCCTTGACTGCCTCCCAGCCTTCCCGTCCCAGGAATAGGCCTCGTCCTTGGAGAGCCGGAACAGAGACAACAAAGGTCCCTGCTCCTCGCTCTATTAACTTGGCCAGAACCACGGGGATCAAAAAGAAAGGTAATGGAACAGGGGATCAAGGCCAAGGCAGGACTGTGACTCATAGCATCTGCTGAGCCATGCCCTCCCCGCTAGCTCATGTAAGTTCTTTCTATGATGTCTTCCCTGTGGATAGCCGGGTCTTTGCTCAAAAAGCAAAGCAATTAACACTAGCATAAGGAGACATGGCTTGGCCCCCCAGTCGGGTGAAAATGATATGAGGTTGAAGTGTTAGCAGACCACAAACTCAGCATGAACGCAGAATGTCAGTGTGGCGAGTCAAAAACTAAAATGCTGGATAACGCAGGCCGGGTTAATAAAGATCTGCTGATTCAAATAGGAAAGATGACAGCTCGCTGCTCCATGGACTGATTAGACCACCTTCAGTACACTGTGTCCTCGCGATGACAAGATGAGACAACCAGAAGAGGGGACCCACGTGAGGAGGAAAGGGGAAACCATGTCCCGCATGTGACCGAGACTGGAGATTCTGAGGGTGCGTGGCCTAAAGCAAGGCAGACCCCACTCCACTCGCTGAGACTCTCCTGGGGAGGCACTGGATGCTGTGGCTATCCCTGGGGACCCAGAGGATTTCACAAGAGACCCGTGGTCCAGGAGGGCGAAGGGCCTTCGAGGCAGAACCATGCTGCAAAGGTAGAGGCCACAGGGAAACAGGGAGGAAGTGAGTTCCCCGCCCTGTGTGCCAGAATGGGGTAAATGCCTCTTTTTCAGAGGGGAGTCCTGCGTCGGCATCCAGATAAAGCCTGGCCTCCAGGTTTTGGCTGCAGATTCAGCCCGTGCATCTTCTTGGTTTCAGTCTCTTCTTCTCCCACACTCCCACGCAGGGCGCCCTGTGTTCTTAAGGTACACATGGCATTGCTTCCCCCAAACCCCGGCCTCCCTTCTATCCCTGCCACTGCTCAAGGATGATATGTCTCTGTCCTCAAACAGATATGTGAGGACACACAGATATGTCTCTGTCCTCGGAGGCCAGAAGCTGCCTATTCCAAACTCTACACTCCTCCAACTGGATGGACTGTCCTTTAACCCTTCGGGGCTCCTCTTCAGAGTTCACACACCCTCAACCACACACACCAGGCCCTACAGCCATGGACCCTCACACTCTCCAGGGACATACATGTTTGCAGCCTGCACACAGTATACACCAAGGTTACTGTGTCCTTTCAAGGTCAAATATGAAAACTAAAGAGGGGAGGAAGAGCTAGTGACCCAGATAATCCCAAGATAGAATCTTCCAATCCAAGTTCCTTGGACTGGGGTTCCTGGGACAGGCTCCCAGGAAGTGTCACTGGTTTTTAGTACATTCCTGCCTGGAGGCAGGGGTTAGACAAGCTGACTCCTGAGAGGTCCTCTTGCACCCCAGTGGAGTTTGATGTGTGTGTGCTACGGATCGGAGAGGAGACTGGGCAAGGTGTCAGAGTGAACTCTAATGTGGGAGAGAAATATTTCAAAGTCACAGGCTTGGGAGGGTAAGTCTCCCCATTTGACAGATGAGGAAACTGAAGCTCAAAAAGAATGAATTTCCCATCTGCAGTTGGCCAGTCAGTCAAGACAGAGCCAGGTACAGAACCTGTCTCTAGATCTCCAGTTCTTGTCTGTCTCCTGCTCAGCATCCGACCCCCCAACTCTCTGGACCCCCAGCTCTCTCCCGAGGGGGCTCAAAGAGAACAGTCTGTCCTTTGTTCTGATTGGTGGGCTCCTCCACCTGCCCTTTACTTGGATTGGGGGATGCTCTGAACTGTCCTTTGCCAGAATTGGTGGGTGCTTGGCTGGCCTTTGTTCTGATTAGTCTATTTTCTGTGACTCTTCAGACTAAGGGCAGGATAATGGGGTGAAGGAGATGGGAAAGGAAACTTGGGGAGAGTTGGGAGAGCAATAGGGAGGGTATTTCACATTCCTGGCCAGAGTGAGCTGGATGCAGAAACAGCCAGTGAAGTCTGTGGCTGTCTGTCTGGCATTCTTCTATCCAAACACCTCCCTGTCCAGCCCAGCCCACCCAGGAGTGGGGGTGCTGGGTAAAGGAGCTGTGGCTGAGAAGGGTCACCTCATTCATGGCTCTCAAAGGGGCCTTCAAGACTTGCTCAAATATCTACCTCCTCTCTGAATCTTTCCCAGATCTCAAAGCATCCTCACCTCTACTGGATCAACTCTGGGAAGTAAATAGCTCCAGTTCCAAAGCCCAAGGTACAAAGGCTCAGAGGGCTGAGGGGGCCTCTGTGAAGTGAGGAGGGAGACCCTGGAAGTAGTGAGAATGAGCAGTGAGAAAATGCCTGAATTACAGGCACAGATGGGGAGCTCAAGTCATGGGCTGGGGTCCCGGGAATCTTAAAAAGAGGAAAGGAGCAGAACCATACCTGCTTGAAAGCACCTCTGTACACGTCACACTTACGCATGTTGCCAGGTACACACCTTGCCCACCATCTATGCACACCCCACACATGCCCACACGAAGATAAGAAATAAGACCATGTGTACAATGTGCACACAAATATGAACCGAGACATGTGTATACACGTGTGTACATGCACCTAGCCCAGGCTCAGAGCGAGATGAGGGAGGATTCACTTCTAGCCCTTGCAGCTTTTTAAGCAAACGTCAATGTAACCTGGCAAATTATATAAGAGGCCACTTCTCAGACCCAGGAGAAAACTTGCAATATACAGGAAAGATCAGTGAGTTCCAGTCTTATCCTAGCGGCCACAGAAACTCTAGGTGGCCTTCATCCGGCCCCCTTTCTTCTTCTGAGCTTCAGTTTACTCACTAATAAAAATAACTCCTCCCATCTCTGCAACACATGATTTTGGTCTAGTTCAACCAGTATGAGTGGATGGATGGAAGAATGGCAGGTGGATGGATGGGGGCAGGTGGGGGCGGGTGGACGGCTGGACGGCTGGGTTAAGTGGATGGAGCCTTTCTGCTTTGCTCAGCTCCCCACCTGCAGCTCTGTGGCTGGGGCCGGGGCACCAGCACCATCCCAGGCACTGGTCTGTCACTCTGGCATCAGAAACCGATCCTGTGGTGAGTGAGGGCTTCTTGGGGGCCAGCATTGGGGCTGGCACCCATTTGGGTAGGGGAGAGGGTCTGGACTAAAGGACTCCTAAATCCTTAATGCTTAGGATTATAGGAAGCCAGCGATCTGGCCTTCTCTGTTTTGGTGGCAGCTGCACGGGGACTGATGCCCTTCTTGAGGGTCAGGGTCACTGCCACACACTGCTCTCTTGTCGTGTTTCACCAGTCCAGTAGCTTCTTTTCCCATCTCCATGAGCCCCCCTATTGCTCTCCGGATGCCTGGAATTCACACCACACCCCTCCTTCTCATAGTGCCCCTCATCATGGCCTAGAAGAAGGAAAGATCAAACCTAACAGCTAGGTACAGCGAAGACTCAAGCCGTGTCACTGGGCCTGGCCATGAATACTGATGGGTCCTACTCTGCTTGTGCTGGACGCACCCCCCGCCCCTCCCCCCACTGTGTAGCCTGGGGGCGGGGCACTCTCGGGGGTTTGGTGTCCCCTTCTTTAAAAGGGGGGATTCAAGATCCTTCAGGAACTTGGAGCCCCTTCCTCTCCCCACCCCCTTCTCCATCCCTCTGTCCTTCCTCTGAGACTGTCTCTCTCAGGCAGGCCAGCTCTCTCCTGATCTCCTCCAGCGAGTGGCCCACTCCTTCTCCCCAAGCTCCCTCTGTCCATCTCTGTCACGGCTGCTCTCCAGCCTCTGCCTCCGTGAATCGCTCTCCACCTCCAGTCCTCTCTCCTCTCACGTGGCTGCCCGTCATCTCTCCTGCACAGTCCTGTCTCCACCCACTTCTGTCTCTCCTACCCACTCCTCCCCCAAGCAGTCACATCAACAACTGGCAGAGACCCAAATGGGCACCCTCAAAATGGGGGAAACCAGGAAGTTGCCCATGATGGGAGAAATTGGGAGTGCCAGGGCAGATGCCATCTACACCACTCTGCTTCCTGCCTCCTGTTCTGGTGGGCAATGCAAACGTTTTTATCTTCCCAGAGAACAAGGGACAAGGGAAAACTTATCTGTCTCTGGGCTCAGCATGGGCCTGGCAATAGCAAGCCCAGCTGCTCTGTGGCGGTGATTGGCAGAACTCCCCCCAAAGGAGCTTTCCTGGGGCTCAGACCAAATGAAACTTCTTTGGCAGACCGTGGATCCCAGCCTGAGCCCAAGCACCCCAAGCTTACTCCGTGGTT